AGTCGCATCTCCGGACCCTAATGCTCCTCCCCAACCCCACCTACCACCCACTACCCTAATGTTACAGTCACACCTCTGCACTGGTCTTATGCTCCTCCTTCTGTCTGAAATTGTCTTTCTGCCTTGCTTAGCTAGCAAGTTCAGTCCTTAAGACCCAGCATAAATGTATTTTCAGTCTTAATTTGGCATGCATGGGTATCTACTTTATGTCACTGCAGCTCCACCAACCTAACATGGGAAATTAAAAGATAAGTAAGACAGAGCTTTAGCCCTCAAGTGGCTCAGGTCTAGCGGGATGGGGAGGTGTATGAACAAGCAGTTATCAAGGGCTACGATGGAGGAGAATGGTGTGTAGAGGAAGGCCTGCAATACAGGAGCCGAGCTCTGAAGGAAGCCAGGGGGTGCAGGAGGAAAGGAGTCTGCTTGCACAGGTTGGAGGCCCCGCAGCATGCAGCTTGCCAGCTCACACAATGTGGAAGACCTGTGAGGGGGCTAGACTGAGAGTGACTTCACCTTTACAGCAACCAGATGTCACTAAGGAGCTTTAAACAGGAAGGTCATGGTGAGATGGGTTTTAGAAAGATCCTGCTGGAGGCAATGTGGGAGCTGAGCAGAAGCAGCAGAGAATGGAGGTCCAGTGCCCAGCTAGGAGAGACGGTACAAACTCTGTAAAGAGGCCATACATGGAGAGGGAGAGGAACCAGGGATTTCAGAGATAATTTGGAGGAAGAACTGACAGTTCTTAGACGACGTGTGACACTTGAAATTGGGTTTGTGTAGTTTGTTTCTATTCCATCTGATTGAATTATTGTTCTAGTAGTCCTCTGAGAGATCATTAATATGGCATTATTTAATAACATGCTTAACTCTTCCAATAAGATATGAGCTTCTAGGGACCAGGGATCACCGGTATTTATTCAGATGTAGATGGTTCAATGCACGCAAATATATGAATGACCAAATCAGCCAAAATCTTTTTGGTTTCCTACTCCACATCTAGTTATTTCATGAAGAAAAGACCCAGTCAGAATAGTGTGTGTTATTCAGAGTATTACAAAATAATTGTTGTCTTCATCCAACTCATTTTATAATTTATCCAAACAATACATACTGAGCCTCCACTAATGTGCCCCTCATATTACAGGAGGAAAGAACTTCCTCATTAGAGCCAGACAGGTCTGGATTCTAATTCTGGATCCCCCACTCATCTGCTGCGCTGTTGGGCAAGTTAGTCTTCTTTAAGGCTCCATTTTTAATTCTGTAAAATGAAAACAGTTGCCCCTATAGGCAGGCAGTTAAGAGGGTTGCATGAGAGGGCACGTAAGCCTCAGATACAAGTCCCTTCCCTCCAGCCATGAACCCAGCCCACCCCTCACCTGCATTCTCTTGCCTCAGTCCCATTCTATGCTTCTGAGAAACTGGAGAGCAATAAAATAAGGTCACTGCTTGTGATCCAGTTCATGGCCCTTGAAATAACACTGCTCTTGTGGTGTGGACTTCTGCACCCTTTCTACCTCTCCCTTGATTTCTCTCTAACCTCCCAATACGTATCTGGAGCCAATGAATCAACAGAAGAAAGCAGTACACAGTACACAAATATCTGTATTTCTGATTCAAAAGATATCACCCGAACAGCGGCTTTGTCTTCCCCCTCCTACATTCTCCTTTCAGTTCAATACCCCCTTGCTTTCTTCTTCCCTCTGACCCCTGCAAGAGCAGGAAGACCAGAAACCTCATCATAATCACCTGCTGGGCTCCTGCCTCCATCAAAACCCCTCTTCAGAACCCCTGGGGGAGACCACTGACCTGTGGCCACGATGGCCTTTACTTAGGAGCACTTAGCTCAGTTAATGGGATTGCAAGGCCCTTGGAAGCCTTGGTGGCTGAGGCAGGATATAATTAGCTGCTCATAATCCCTAGAGGGGCACCAGGAACAGCTCAGTGGCTGGGTCTGATTTCACTAATGCCACTGTCCTCCTCCTAACAGTATTTTTGGTTGGTTTGTATTTTGTTAAAAGTTAGTATTAAAGAGCTTACTATATTCTAAGCATTGTTCCAAGTACTTTGCATGAATTAACTGTGAATTGATATTAATTCTCACAGCAAATCTATTAGCTAGGTACTATTAATATCTCCATTTTACAGATTCAGAAACTGAGGAACAAGTAGCAGAGATTTGAACCCAGGCAGTCTGATTCTAAAAATTGAATTCTTATCCATCTAAGCAGTTGGTATATATTAAGTACCTTTTGGGTACCTAGCACTACATGAAACATAAGCTACATGGAAAAAATCATCCTACAAGAAATGCAACCTTTATGTCACCAAGCAAATGTCAAGTCAAACAAAAGACAAGAGGTATTCTTTACTACTGATGTACCCAGCAAAAACACTGTAAGAACCACTGAACTCCATTCTGCAAGAGTAAAAGAACAGTGCTCTTTTCTCCCATCCACACCCTCTCCCAGAGCCCTGCTTATAACTGCAGCAGGTGGGTGGTGGTGACATGGCCAGGGATGGGGACACATGGAGTAGAGAATGCTTGGAAGAGTGAATGGCTAAACTTATGTTGAAGCAGAAGTGACATGTGAGAGCTGAGTCTCAAAGAATGAATGAATGGAAGCCCAACAGATGGGGAAGGAAAAGTCATTTCAGGATTTTCTGCCTTATGTTTCTTCTTTTGGGGGAAACAGTCTTCCCCACTTCACAGTAATCCTTCTCTGTCCCAGAGATTCAGATTAAGCTAACTTGGCTTTCCTTACTTCATGGTGAGCATATGACCCACACCTCCCTATCATAGTACATGAACCCCTACAGAGACTCAGAGATAGGTAGAGTCAGGCCAATCAGAAAACTGCCCAGGAGTATAGCTTATGCTATGGGAAAGCCACTCCTTCTTTCTGCAGATTTTCTGGGGGTAAAGCTGACTACTGAGGGCTGTGAACAGCTGATACACCACCAAATGGAGAGGGCCTGGCTGAGATCAAAGCCCAGCAGAAGCAAGCACAACCATGAGATAGAAGGGCACAAGGGTCTCATGGTTGCATTTAGTCCTTAGATCCCCTGAATTTCCAGGTTAGATCAACCAATAAACTCTTTTTTTTTTTTTTTTTAAGCAAAAAAGCTCTAATCACTGGCAGCATTTGCAAAGAGCAAAATCATGAGCAGTTAGGGTATGCCTGAGGGTGGCAAAAGGGCCAGCGGAGCAGAGCAGCAGATGTGTGAGTGAGCGCTGGCTGGGCAGGTGGGCTGCAGTGGCTGTGGAAGGCACTTGTGGTCCCTGGGGACTGGCTCGGTGAGATTTTTAGCATGAGAGTGATGACTGCAGATACTCTGCCGTGTTTGAAATGTAGGTCTGGTGGTAGTGTGGAGAAATGCCTGAGCCAACAGATCCTGGACCCTGGAACCCAGGGAGGAAGCCACTGGAACAGGCTGACAGAGAGACAACAATGCTTCCAGAACTCAGAGAGCCTTAAAAGCAAGAGGTGGAGATGAGACGTATTTAGGAGAGAGACAAACCTCAGTGTAATACTATGATTTATAATCAGATATATATATTTGTCTTTTTCTGTTTCTGGTGGTGCTCCTAAAACACTTTAAATTTCCTAAGTGATGAACAGCCTTAAGTTGTGCTTTGTTATGTTGATGAGGTGACTTTTGGACCTCATCTAAGGATGAGAACTGGTTGCTAGAGGAGCCAACTGTGTGATTATAGGGTTGGAGGGGAGAGTAGGGGAGTGGACTGGAAGCCGAGTTCAGTTACTAATGGCCATGATTTACTCAACCATGCCTAAGTAATGAAGTCTTCATGAAAACTCAAAGGCATGCGGTTTGGAGAACTTCCGGTTTGTGAACATGTGGAGATTTGGGAAGAGTGGCATTCCCAGAGAGGACACAGAAGCTCCACACCCTTTTCTCATCCCTTGCCCTACGTATCTCTCCCATTTGGCTGTTCCTGAGTTATATTGTTTCATAATAAACCAGTGATCTAATGAGTAAAATGTTTGAGTCTTGTGAGCCACGCTAGCAAATTAATTGAATCCAAGAAAGGGTCATGGGAACCTGCCTGCTAAATCTGTGAGCAGAATTAGGGGGTGGGTGCCAGTGTCATGAGACTGAGCTCTTAACCTAGGGGCTCTGATGCAATCTCCAGGTAGCATCAGCATTGAGTCGAGCTGCAGGACACCCAGCTGTTGCTGAAGAATCTCTTGATGGTATGGGAAAAACCATCATGTTTTGGAACTGGTATATAACTGTCCTCAGTGACCAGACATGAAAGAGGCAGTAGGGGGGTCAGAAGGGCAGGCTCTGAATTCAGGCACACCCAGATCTGGATGTATTCTGCTACACAGAACAGCTATGGAATGGGACTTTATTTAACCTCTTTAAGCCTCAGCTTCTGCATCTGTTAAAATAAGAAAGATAACAGCGCACACTTCATGGAGCTCTTGCAAGGATGAAATGAGCTACTGTGTACGAAAGCAGAGCCCAGAGCTTGGCACAAAGAAATCCTCAATAAATAATGCTGCTGTGCGGAAGGGGAGGAAGAAAGGTAACTAAGGATGACCCCACAGTCTCTGACTTGATAATTTGGAATAAGGCCGAGGACAGAGATCAGGATAGGAAATGCTATAGGAAGACAGGTTCTATGAGGAGGAGAACACAAATCTATTTTGAGCTACACTGAGCATGCTACGCCTGTAAAAGCTGGGGGTGAGAGTTTCCAGCAAGCAGTGGGACCTGAGAACTTGCGATTTCTGGCCAATGATGATGGAATCTATGGCAGACAAGAGAGGATGGAGGACAGATGCAACTACTTCACAGGCTACAAGGGAGGGGGACCAGCCCAGGAGGAGTCAGGGAGCCATGGAGGGCCGGTCTGCAGAGATGTGGAAAGGATCTGTTTTACATGTGGATAAGCTATTAGGGAACAGGATCCACCTTGTTTGGGAGCCGTGAGAATTCTTGGTTCATTAGCAAAGGAAAAGGAGATGCCTCACCTCCAGGTATCTGCTAGCCAGACGCAGGGTGTGATCCGTGAAGTTAAATACATCTTTCCAGTTGAGGTTGTCCACGTCATTGGCCTGGCTCTCTCGAGGACCCCTATCCAGGAAGTTCAGCACGGCTTCTACAGTGATACCTTCCTCACCAAGCTGACTATTCAAAAAGCCTTTCACTGTTGGGTTCTCCAGAGTGTCCTTGGGAGGAAGCAAGACAGTTGTAGTATTTAGAAATACCACAGGATCTCTGGTCTTGTTTTCACGCCATTTCCAACTTTTAATGAAAAGGGATAGACGTTAAGCCTCCCTAAAAAGTGAGTGGGTTTTATTCCATGATAAGGCATGCCTATCTATATCCCATTTCCCCTGAATACACAGTTCTCTCTAGAAGGAAAATGTAAATGTTGGGGCTGGGGAAGAAGGACAGGGAAAATGGTAATATAGGAAGCTTTCTTTCTTTTTTTTTAATGGTTTTTTGTTGTTCTCTTTTAATTATCTCTGCTATATAGGACTCTAATCTCCTGGCTTTGCAAAGCTGGAAATGACAGCAGACAGACATACTCAACTACTTTTGCAGTTACAGAGCTGGCCACCTGGGGAGATGTCCCTTTGAATCTGAGGCCCTCAAGTGAACTGAAAAAAGCAAGAAACTGCAGGAAGCCATTGATCAGTTTTTACATTTCCCCCAAAATTCAAAGAACATTTCCCACCCAAAGTCAGCGACTCCACTTGGTGCCTCCAGAACTAGTGCCTTAGGCCCCTGCTTATTAAATTTTGATCCAACTCCAGCAGACCAACCCTTTACTGAGAAAAGGAAATTTATGGAACTTTCTTGGCTCTTCTCCTCCCCTCCCCCATCCGTACTCTGATTATGGTCATCTGTGTGCTCTTGTCAAAGAAGTACCAGATCTGGGGGCCTACTTCTTCCCAGGCTTTGACCAACTTCCTAAGGCGCTCCAGCTCTTCAAAAGTTGAGTTGGCCTAAAACCAGACAGAGACAGTTAGAGACAAGAACAGGGAGGAAAAACGTGAGAGAGCAGTTTTGATTGTGCCTTCTCTGCTCCTGTCACAAACCCTCAGTGTTTGGGAAAGTCTTTTCAAGGAGTGTCTTTACTTTCTAGTCTACTGATATTTCCCAGAACAATCTGTTATTTCCTAACTTCCACACTGCCAGAATCTAGTTTCTTAATATCTCAGAGATATTGAGATGTATCTCTCAATACATGTAATACTGACGATGTCATTGTCCCAGAGCCTCATTTAAACTAGATTTGGACACCCTGTAAGGAAATGCTCTTTCTCCCTTCCTGCCTTTGTCTCTTGCAGATAGCCAAGTTTCAGAGAACTGTGAGCCCTTCCATTAGGGATAAAATTCAGGTGCTGGGGAAGAAAACCTCATCTTAGGTTTTGTAGAGAAGGGAGGGCCCAGGCAGGGACAGGGGCACAAAGCATTCCAATGATGATGTGGATGGGGGAGGAACCCAACACTCCACTAAGCACAACACAAACATACGGCTTGCTACCAGGAGCCGATGAGCCGTGAGCAGGAGCAGGCACGTGTGCATGCGCTAGCATGCTCTCTCTCTCCCACTCTCTCATTCTTCTGGGAGGTCCAGGGTAAAAAGGACAAGACCAGCTGGGAACTTACATTCTGCAGTATTCTGCGTGCTGCCGGAGAATCTGGAGTAAAGAGGATTTTTCCCATCAACAAAGGCTTTGCTGCCCTCCAGGCTATTTTGGTGAGAGGGTTTGACTCCAGACTCTGGATCAATGCATTACAAAAGGTCGCTGCCGGGAGAGAAGGGACAGATTTTATAGAAACTCCCCTGTTGCTCAGAGCTAAACATAGTCATTAGTGTGTTTAAATCACATGTCTCATTCAACTCTATGCTGGAGGATTTGACAAATAACCTGAATTAACAGGCTGTACCCCACCAATAACAAGCTCATCATTAGTAAGTAACAAAATGCCACAGTGCATCTCAATAAGGGCCTCATCAGAGAAACAAAGAACGGGGCTTGCCCTGTGGTTTATTCTACTTTAGAAGGAGGCTAAGAAGCCTGCCTGGGATTACTGCAAGGAGCGGATGCCATTCTCACATGAAAGGGACAAGGGGCCAAATAAGGCCTTCCCTTGGAATCTCAGCTTCAGCCTCAATAATTTCCCTTCACATAGCTGCTTAATTTCTTCGTCATGTGGGCTATCTTAGGGTCCAACTACTTTGGGTGCGTGCCTTGCTGCCTCTTTTTAATTTTTAACTCAAAGTTCACCTAGTTGTATTTCTTTCCCAACTCACCTTCCTTTACCCCACAGAAGCCTCGCCTCCCCTAACAATAAAAGGTAGGAAAGATGGTTTGCCAAGGACTTACCATTTGGAACGTAACTCAGTACAGCACACAGAGATTTTCACTGCACTGTTTGTAAAAACATCCCACAGCCATGTTTACTCGCCAGGGTCCTTCTGACCTGAGCTTTGCTTGCAACTCTGGGTTGTCTCCTCATTTATCTTTCTTCCCTTCCTCTAGAACTTAACCCTTGTTCAATCAGATCAGTGAGAAATGTCCCCTCTGTTCCCTTTCCAAGTGGGTCTCAGTTCTTTCCATGGCTCAGATCCAGAATTCTTTATGAGCACTGCCCCTTTCCCACAAGGGGAAGTGGACTTTCTGGGAGCAGAAGCCTCTCTGCTCAAGGACCCTCAACAAGACCAATTTAACCCCAGGACTGGGTTTCCCTGAAAGTGTTAAACCATCAGTGTTAAACCATCAGCTTCACTCACATCAGATGCCGTTTTATATATATGACCCAGAAAACTTACTTGTTGTTTTGTCATAAGAATAGATAGGATCCTTCCTTGTGGAGTCAATCCCTAGGAAGGCCTTATAGTTATTGTCTTCATACCAGTTGAAGGAGAACACTCGAGAGCCTCCTCCCTCTGGGTAGCCACATAAGAGATCAGACAGGATGCTCATCAGCTGTGTGAAGGTCTCTGGACCACCAGTCTGCATGAGAGGCCTGGCCACCCACAGCAAGTCTTGAACACTTGGTTGATGGATGAACTAGAGCAAGGCAAAGACTTCAGGTTATTTTAAGGCAGCTAGAATTATCATCACTCTGATGCCAGAGCTCCAAAGTATGGGGAGACCTCACATATGCATTTGACTTCCACATTTAAAAGAAAACACACATATTCTCAGTAGTTCTTAACCCAGCTGTGAAATAACCTATTGCCATCTATTCAGGCCTAAAATGAGCCTAGAATGAGCCTTAAATAAAATCAAAGAGTGAATCCCAACATATTTTAATATCTTCCTTCTAGTCCCCTTTATCTGAATTCCTCGGGAATGTGTCCTTGGACAAATGTAGGGAGTATTTCTTTATAAGCAAGTTCTCGGGTTCTGTTATCCCATCAAGATGAGAATACTGGGGAAAAAGTGGGAAATAAAATGATGGAGGAATGGCTCTGCCCTAGAAAAGCAAGATCACAGCAAATTTCTTTGGCCAAGTCATTTAGAATTTAGTGTCTTATATTTAGAGAATTATCTTTTTATTAGCTTAATTTTACCAAATGTAAGTTCTTCCATTTCCTTGAAATGTGTGGTTTGCGGTTCCTCTGTGTGTGTGAGTGTGTTTGTGTGTGTTAAAATCCAAGCAAATACAGGACAGATGAAGTCTCCACTCTTGGAAGAACACTTTATTTTTTAATTTTAATTTTTTAAAAAAGATTTTATTTATTTATTGGAGAGAGAGAAACAGAGATAGCAAGAGAGTAGCAGCACCAGGGAGGAGGGGGAGAAGCAGGCTCCCCAAGGTAGGGTTTGATCCCAGGACCCTGGGATCTTAACCTGAACCAAAAGCAGGTGCTTAACCAACTGAGCCACCCAGGCATCCTTGGAAGAACTCTTTAAATTCTGCACCAGACTAAGAAGAGGCTGGTAGTCTTCTCTCCATGAGTACCCGTGGCCCTTGATGGACTCATCCTTTGAAGGCAGATCTGTAATGCTGAGAACTAAGTTGAGGACTGCCAGAGTCACCAGGGTCTCAGCGCCCACATGTCATCTGGCTTTCCTTTAGGGGAATATGCAAAATAAAAACAGTGCCACTTTTATTCCTCAAACACACTTATTAGTAATTTTCAAAGGCACTTGGGAATTTAAAAAAGCATTAGGGTTCAGTCAGGTGAGACTGAAAACAGTTCCCCTACTTCAATAAGTGATGTTTACCTGTCATCCCTGTCTTTGTCCACATGCCAACACTTGCCCTCTGAAACTCTTGGGTGCTGTGTAGGATCCACACTGTGAGTCATGCCTATAATCACAGTCTAGGCTTCAATAATAAACTTGGAATCTCAAATTGCTTCGACAACAGTAGGTCTTATGACCGTCTTGTAAGGGGTTATTATCATTATTATGTTGTTCATTTAAGCAAAGCACTTGGAGATGAAGGGGCTGTTCTGGGGTCAAATGGTCTAGTATCAGTTAATATAAACGGAGCCATCTGCTACAACCTAATTCACAAACGCTTACACTTGCTATCTAGCCAGGCAAGAAACATTTTGGAACTCCCACATAGACGGAGGAGTGTTGATATGCTTTGGGGACTTTTTTCACATTCTCTATCATTTTCAACCCTATTATACTGATAAGAATTTCTTAAATGCTCATGAAGAAAAGAATGTTAAACAGAGACTCCCACTAGAGCAGGTGGCCATCAGTACAATGGGCCCTTCTCTAACTTCCCTGCACAGCAGCACTTACACTCTGCCCAGGCTGAACTTAGTTTTATGAACACAGATTCCACAACGCAATTTTCAAGATTGGCTAAGCCCAAATCAGCTGAGGATATTGGAGGGGAGAATGTTTGGGGAAAATTATGCTTCACCTTTTGTCTCCCTTTCATAATACACATCGCACTTAAAGATAATTGTTTCTTTCACATTACTCTTCCCCATTAGATTGTATGTTTCACTAGGGAAGTGGCCATACTGGCCTCTTCATCATTACACCCCCAGCACCTCTCATCTACGAGTGGAGAATCAATTTCTATACAGGTAAAGGCTCGTGCAACCAGATGTTAATTGAAACATGCACATCCTTCACAAAACAACACAAAAATGTCAGGGTTTGTGTGTGTGTGTGTGTGTGTGTGTGTGTGTGTGTGTGTGTGTGATGGGATGGGATGAGTCAATATATTTAAGACACTTTAAAACGATGCCTGTAAGCACCTTGCAAGTGAATGCTATTGCTCTTAGCAGTACAGATTTAGGTGGATTGTAAGAGCATAGTAGGATGGGTCACTTCAGTACTGGAAAGACCTCAATTCAGTATAAGTCCACTGATATTCAGCCACACAAGACATGGTGGCATTTCTTCCTAGGCATGAAATCAGAAGGATGGTTCCTTTCCTTTTGCCTCCAACCCAGGAGCACAGATAATTTAGGATATGAACAGGTGCTTTGAAACTGCTAGACAGAAAGTTCAAATGTATTTCTCCTTGAACAGGTCTGAGGTACAATTAAATTGTTTGACATAGTAAGTGTGGTAAAATGGTGGAAAGATATTATCATTATATATTACATTATCATTAGTATCATTTGGCCACTTACCTCTTGAATTCTTGGTGACATATCAGAAAATATTCTTCCCCAGGATCTCAGATTGATACCTTGAGACCTGCTGTCTAAGAGTGTAGGAAGCTGTAATTGATAGGGAAAAAATATAAAATGTATATGTGTGTATACACATACATGTATTAAGTTATACATATACACATGGGTGCTATCTGATCTCCTGTATGCTTGAAAAAACATTACCTCCTTTTTTTTTCTGATCACAGGACCTCTTCTGCTAGATTACTTTCAAAAACAGACTGTTTTATCTAACTGAGAAAATTAAAGACTCTTATTCCAAGTCTGATTCCAGGCTCAGCTCCCTGCTGAGCTAGTCAATCACAAATAATTTCACAGTGATATCAAATATGCCAAAGTGATTCTGATTGCTGCTTTAGCAACACCCAACAAGCCTCCTGGAGGAAGGAAACCAACGCAGCTGCTGGACTGTAAAGGAAGGCTGTGTGGTGAGGTGCCCATCTTGGCACCTTGGGCTCCGCAGACACACTCAGGCTTCCTCACCGTTCACATCTTTGCTCCGTTGAGGCTTTTTCAGGTAGATTGTGGCTCTTCCTCTGTTCAACACTACTTTCTTATATGGAAGATTTGGCTAGTTATATCATCTTTCTTTTGAAGCTGCTGTTGGCAGCTTTGAAGAGAGGTTTCTTGCAGATTATCCATAGACAGCAGTGTTCTGCTGACCCCAGGCCCTTGAGACAATACAGAACTATTCAAGCACTTCCCACCTACACAGGGAACGTGGAAGCCCACAAGTTTGCTGGTTGCAAACCTGAGCCCAATGTGAACAACTTGTTTTCTGGAAACCAAGTTCAAGTCCTTAATGAATGACTTCGTTCTTGATAGTTTCAAAACTGATTGACTCACTGATCCTCTGTCTTTTAGGGCTGAATTCTAAGTTTTAAGATAGTGGTTTTCAAACTCAAGTGTGCATCTTGAGTATGTCTGCAAGGGCTCTGCATTTTTCACAAGATCAATGTAGAATTCTGACTCAAGGATTGTGGACCACAAGCCACAAGCCTCAGTTTTCTATTTGCCAGGGTGGTTCTCCTAAATGATGGGTGGGCTTACCAGCCTGCGGCCCAGCTGAGAAGCAGGTGGAGTTAGGTTTTGAACAGTCCAGCCTCCCATTTCTAGCAGTGGTCCTGCCCTCCCTTCTCCCTGCTGTAAGGGCAGGGGCCCTCGCAGTCTCTCTGGCCCTGATACTGAAGAATGAATACAGGAACACTTCATGGAATGTCAGCATTTCTGGTTCATTTCCTAACTGTTAAATGAAAGGCTTTGTTATGAGGGCCACAAAGCAGATGGGAGAATAATTTGCCAGAGGAAGTAGCAGCAAAACCACCCTTGCAAATACACCATTGAGAAGCATCTTCTCTCCTTAACCTTCACACTGGCCCTAGACATTGGTCTGGCCAGGACTTCTTTTCAAACTCCTTGGAAATAGTTTCAGGGAAAGCTGGGCAAAGCACTTTAATTCCTGCTTTAATTCCATGAGAGGGTGGGGCTGAGAACGTAGGTAGGGAGGAAGCCAGCAGGTAGAAATGTGTGCCAGTGGCAAGTTATCACCAACTCCTGTGATTCACCTCCTGACTACTCTAATAAGATCTAGTAGAGATGAAAGGAGATCTAAGAGATACAGCAATAAAATGCCATGTGTGGACTTTATTTTGATCTGAACAAATCAGCTGTAACAATCAGAGGAAAGTGAACATGACTGGGTATTAGATAATATTAAGGAATTATTGTTAATTTTGTTGGGTGTGATGGCAGAATTGTGGTTTGTTAAAACACGCATTAAAACACGCAAGTTTTACACAAGAAAGTATGTAAGGGTGAAAGAATATATTGTCTGTGATTTGCTTTAAAAGATTTTAGGGAGGGGCGCCTGGGTGGCTCAGTGGGTTAGAGACTCTGTCTTTGGCTCAGGTCATGATCCCAGGGTCCTGAGATCGGGCCCCACATTGGGCTCTCTGCTTGGTGGGGAGCCTGTTTCCTCCTCTCTCTCTCTGCCTCCCTCTCTGCTTACTTGTGATTTCCATCAAATAAATAAATAAAATCTTAAAAAAAAAGATTTTAGGGAAAAAAAGTGAGGGGCATATTAAACAATAATGGCCAAATGTTGAAAACAGCTGTGTGATGGATCCATGGGAGTTCATTACATTATTCTCTCTTTTATACTTATATCTGTAATAGAAAATTTTAAAAATAAAAAAGAAGCTTTTTGTATGCAAGAATCAATAAATAGCTGAATGAATGAACACTAAATAAATACTCTTTCCTCTCTCTTTTCTCTTCCTCACTAGGACTGCCTTTGCTCATGCTCTCCTTGCCTCTCTCCCAGAACATTTTCATCAGAATAACATTCTTGCTGGCCCCTTGTCTCTAGATTTCTCCGTTCCAATGCACTCCCTACACTGTAGCCTGAGTTACCTAACAGACCAATCTAACCATGTCACCTCTCCTGCTCAAAGATCTTACATGGCTCCCCACTGCCTCCAGAAGAGAAGGTCAGTACCAGCACTGGACATACATGGTTTCACCTCTAACCTTTTCTGTTGCTTCTCTTCCATCAGGCTGGACTTCCTTCTACATTTCCTAATATGTATGTCTATCTAATTTTGCTAATGGTGATAATGCCTGACTAAAAAACAACATTTCTCTGCCTCCATTGTACATGAGATGGTAACATGACAAAATCCTGACTAATAAGATACCAGGAGAAGTCACACAGTGGGGATTTGGGGGAAGGCCTATTAAAGGAGGACCCTCTGCCTGCCGGGAACATTGATGTGCTAGAGGAGGTAGAGCAGACATCTCAGGATCACCAGATACCAACCACATGCTAGGGACGAGTGATGGAAAAGAGGAGCCTGGGTTCTTGAGAAAATCTGTGGAGCCTCCACACCACTCCTGAATGAACCACCACAGGACTTGGCTTTGGGAGGAATAGGAAAGCCACTCTTTTTCAGCATTCTGTTGCAGCCAATTATAGTTTCTAAATGACATAATTAACATTTGACAAATATGTACAGACTGTCCGTTGTGTGCCAATGGCTAGGGAGCATAGCAATGATGAAAACAAAGTCCTCCCTTTATGAAGTTTACTTTCAAGAGTCTCACTGATGTATCTTCAGCTTTCCCTTCACTGTTATCACATATATGTGCTCAAGACCTCCCATGTGAAAGAAAGAATTACTTCTGATGCCTTATTCCCCTGCAGCTGCACTCTAGCTGCCTTCCTCCACCCTTTATTCCCACGCTTCTTGGAAGAGCAGTCCATGTGCAGTGACTTCAATTTCTCAGCAACATCCCCGTCTTCCACACTCACAGCTCAATGGAGACACTTTAGCATTCTAGTGAAATTCCCAGTTTCCTCCTAGTTTTTAAGTCTAATGGATACTTTTGGTGCTTGTCTTTTCAGATCTCTCTGCTTCTCTCAACACTTTTGATTATGTCCTTCCCACCCCTTGATGTCGGTGATACTGCTCTTGTCTGGTTTGCTCTGATCCTTCTCAGCTTTTCGCATGAGCTCTTCTGCCTCCACCTTCTCCTTCAGCGCTGAGGTTCCTGAGGGGCTCTGTGGCCTTGCTCCTCTCACTCTGCATACTCTCCCTGGATAGTCTCAATCCCTTTATCACTTAATCTGCTACCTTTTTGGTGACTTCTAAATCTACCTCTAACCCCTGTGTCAGCTGGACCTTTGCCTAGTCCAACTTGTCCTAAACTGATCATGTCACCTTTCCCAAACCAGTTTCTGTCCTGTGCACACTTCTCCCGCTGTGGCATCACCTTCTCCCCTGTCACCAAAGCTAAAAGTCTGAAAGTCATCACTGATTCTTCCCCATCCCTATCCCCTTGGCAAAATCCCCAGCCTGGAGACCTAGGAACTGGTCCTGGATCTGAGTGTGGGGCAGGATGAGCCCCCTTTCTGCAAAGAGGGGAGCCAAGGGGTATCTGAAAAACTGGAGGAAGCTGGAATCAGGACTGGAGTCCTAAGAGCTATGCAGAGAAAAAAATTACCAGGTCCTACACAATGGGAAGGGACCTAAGAGGCGCTAGAAACTCAGAGCATGGAAAATAAAGACATGTCACATTCATGTGTCCAGAGAGATTGTCAGTTAGTCACCGGCTCCAATTGCTTTTAATTACTTCCCTTTCTTTGTGAGTTTGTTGTCTGTTTTCCTCACATGGCGTTGAGCTGGAGATGATCTGTCACTGTGTTCTGACTAAGTGGGCATCTTCTCTCCATCTCCTTTCCTTTACCTCCATAGCTTTTAGGCACATGCTGGTCTTAAAACTCTGCCCTGCATCAGATTCAACACACTGAAAAGCACCTGTGTCTCATATCATATGACACATATGATATGTGTCATATCTATATGTACTTATATCTACATATCAATATAGATTTCTATGTATTTTTAAGGGCTTCTAATTTTGCTTTTGAAATTATTTGGCTTTGAGTAACTCATTTAATGAATGATCTGATTTCTCCGCAATCACTGTAAATACTTAGGAATGTTTGCAAAGTGGGAAAACCTGAACTATAAACTGGTTTTTTGAATTTCAAATTTTATGAACACTAAATTTAACAATAAAGTTGAACAATATTACCTTCTTAAAACATTCAATGTAATGTTTATTGATTTCAGTTTTAAAGATTTTCTTTGTATTTCAGAGCCATAATTTTTTTAAATTTTCAGGTCTCAAACATTCTTGTAGGCCTCTGCAAAGCTACTACACCCATTACTTTAGAGCCAAATAAATAAAATGGCCAATTCACCCCATTCCACTTCATCCTCATCACCACCCCTAGAGGCCAGAGTCAACTCATCCGAAACTACCTCAGCTTCTCCAGAAAGCCTTCCTTCCCTCACTCCATGCTCTTCTTGCCTTCCTTCCCCATGAGTTAGGTGCTCCTCCTAGCCCCTACTAGAATTCTCAGTGCATCCATTTATCACTTTTGTATTGGTTTGCTATGATTTTCTGTCTTTCCACTCTATTGTAAACTCAATAAGCATAAAGATAGGCTTTATTTTGTTTTATGTCTTCAGGGCATGGTACAA